GGTTTAAAGGCTATTGGTTTGATCCTGGCACAGTTACTTTTATCATCTAATTTTCTTGGGAATGTAGAGCCCCTTTTCAAAGGTCTTTAGGTACCTTTTTGTTTGTACATGTAATGTGAAGTAACATATTTCCTAGCTCAAATGAAATGTTCTGAAGGGCTGTGAGATGATGAGGTGCTATAATAATACGGGCTATGCAGGTATCTTGTTTAATATAGCAAAGCTAATGGGGGTTCTTTTCTGATCATCCAAAAAGACAGTATTTAAGTCACTTATTGAAAATGTTTTTTAATGCTTGGTCAAAATTTCAGTGAAGATGCTCTTTTCCCTGTTTTTGATAAAGAATTTGAAACTTAAAACTGGCTTCAATAAGAAAACGATGTAGGAATTAGCATTCACAGTGATAACCAGAATTTGAAATGCAAAGCAGCAAAACTAAAGAATATTTGAGCTTTAAAATATGATTTTGCTGTTTCTCAGTGGGTTCTTTCATTTCCAAACTCAGTCAAGATTTGAAGCCATTCTAGAAACTTCAGAAGTGCTGATCCTGAAAGATACTTATTGATAATCCTTGCAAAGATCTCTTTTTAATATCCTTGAGGGAACCATAAAGCAATCTCATAAGCTAAAAGCACAATATGTTGCTTGTTTTTCACAGCATTTCACTGATGTGTCAGTGATGAGCTGTCCGTGCTCACAGTCTGAACTTAAAAATTCATGAAATATGAATAGAATCATTGTAATGTAGAACTAAATATGTTTCCAAACTTTGAAGATAAAACTGGGGGAAAAGTTGCTTTTGTGTGGTGTAGCAAAGGAGAATTGTAAGGCTGGAGATAAAGGCTTAACTCCCTGATGTTAAAGACATGCTTAATTTACTGCCAGAAATGAATCCTGAAGGAGCACACAATGAGCCATCAACTTTAAAAAGAAAGATCTTTTTTGCACATGCTTACTCATTTGTACAAATTGGGCCTCGAGTGATCAGTGCAACGTCATGCTGTTGGTGGCTCTGGTGGGGAGCACCGGACTGCAGCCTCGTGCACAACAACCTTATGCTTCAGGTCATACTGCAGCTGAGATTCCCCGAGTGCTGCTGGTGCTGCTGGCACTGAGTGTGAGCTACGTGAATCCCACTGCAGCCTTTAGCTCCTCGTGGGGCAGATTGCTGCATGGAGGAAACACCGGCGTGAAAAGAAAGAGCCCATCAGCAATGGAGGTGCTTGTATTCAGCTGACCTGGCAAGTGGGGCTCTCTTGGTGGTTTCAGACAACACAGAAATAAAAATCGAGTTAAATAATCAGGTATTCTCCAGCGTCTGAGAGAAAAATGAAAGGCTGACAGCTTTTGGGCACCACCTGAATCCTGCAAACAAGGAACCCCAACTGTGCTAACTAACACCAAGGATATCCGGAGTCTGCCCTAGCTGCTTGTTGGCACCACGCCGCCATTGGATGTTCTGAAGTAATTTGGATGAGATAACCTCTGGAAACCAAGTTATTTTTATACTTTTAATTCACGTAACTGGCAGCTAGCGTTCATGGTATTTTAAGGCGCAGAGATTTTAGCTAAAGGATTACTATGTCGTTAATCAGCCTGCTGAATATTCATGATTTAGTGGATTTTTTTCCCCCCACAGAAGGAGAGAATAATTATTTTGGCTAGCACTTGAAAAGCATGCGTGCTGTTGATACAACCTCTACCGTAGTAGGCAAAAATAGAACTGTTGTATTAGGCATGCCGACTGATCTTCTCTCCCAACACCAACAAATACCTGTCAGTTCTTCTTTTCTGTTTCGTAACTCTTCATGACTTTTGGGGGATAAAAAAGTAATGAAAATGCACAAAATGAGGAAAAAACAAACAAACAAGAAACCAAAAACCAAAACTTCAAACCAACCCAACAGCCTCCAGGGAAGCTGGTCATTTGTGAAAGCCCACTCCAGAGAGCAGAGTCCTGACAGATGCTCTCACATTTGTTGTGTCCCAACACCTTGTATTGCCATTTATACCCCAGTGAGGCCAACCTGAAACAGTGATTGCAGGAGGCTGTTCTATGATTTCTATGCCACAAAGCCTATTTCTTGGTCCATCCTCAGTAGATCTTGTCCTCATTGCATTTTGTTCAGCAAAGCACACTGGTTTCTCCTATATAGGGAATGCATAAACCTAATTGTTGGCAGATAGTACTGCAACTCCTAGTGACACAGTTGTTCCTTCGGGCAGCTGAAGGGCACTTAATGATGGCTGTTAATTCTTTAGGTTTGGAGCCCCAGAAGTTTCTAAAATCTTCATCGTTGGACAGAAGTGCAGCAGGTCTTTGCAGAGGGAAGGGATTTGTCCAGTTGTATCTTTTCCCTTTGCGGCCAACAGGAGGATTTTGCATAGAAAAAAGCAACGACGATAATGGATACCTGGAAAAGTCTTTGTAAATCATCCTGGGTACGAGTGGGGCTGAAGAAAGTGAATATCCTTGATTTTATTTACAGCTCATGATTTTTCACAGATGAGATGAGAGGGAACGGCCCAAAGTTGCTCCAGGGGAGGTTCAGGTTGGATATTAGGAAAAGTTTCTCAGAAAGAGCGGTGCTGCAGTGGCACAGCTGCCCAGGAGTGGTGGGGTCACCATCCATGGAGGTGTTGAGAACTGTGGGGATGTGGCACTGAGGGATGTGGACAGTGAGCATGGTGGAGTTGGCTTTGGGTGGCTGTCACACGAGCCGGGTGTCCTTGAACTGCACCCAGCAGCGCTGTAAGGTGGATCATGGCTTTCTTCTCCCAACCCTGCTTGTTGTACTTCAGCAAGGAGCTGGCTGAGGCTCTCAGTCTCTGCTGGCAGACTCAGCTGTCCAAAGGGGCAACCAGATAAAAACAAATGTACAGGTATGAAAATTATAGGACAAGGGGAAATGGTTTTAAACTGGGTCGGGAGGTTTAGGTTAGATATTAGGAGGAAGTTTTTCACTCAGTGGGTGGTGAGGCACTGGAACAGGCTGCCCAAGGAGGCTGTGGATGCCCCATCCCTGCAGGCATTCAAGGCCAGGCTGGATGTGGCTCTGGGCAGCCTGGTCTGCTGGTTGGTGACCTGCACACAGCAGGGGGTTGGAACTGGATGAGCACTGTGATCCTTTTTAACCCAGGCCATTCTATGATTATTGCTTTAGTCAAACAGCTTTAGAAACCCTCTACTAACAGCAGTCTGGGCTCCTTACACTCAAACTGCAGGAATTTTAGCAAGATGGTAGTTAATTTTTTTTTAAGTAGGAATGTTTTTTTTCTTTATACTCATATTCTGTGATAGCTCTGTGCCAAAATTTATTAAATCTAGCTTTTTACAATTGGTGTTTTATAATTAAAATAGATCTTGCTGTTTCTTTGTAATACAACAACACTTAGTTCAGTGGGAGCGCGGCGCAGTGAAAGACTCGCAGGAATAGATTCTGTATCCAGGACTGCTTTAAAACAAGCAGCAGGTACCCTTCTGTTTGCACAACTATTTCTGCTCCTGCTAGTCTCGAGGCTACATGCCTTGCTTTGTTGTAAACAACTCTGCAAAGTGTTTTTTTTTCTTTTGTTTTCTGGATTAACATGCACCAAAACACCCCCTAACAACTCCCAGCCATGCAGATATAATACGCTTTCCCTCAATGCCAGCAAAAAGCTGTCCTGGTTGTAGGGAATTCCTTTGCTAGGTGGAGCTTCACATCCTGCAGATCACTCAGCTTTGCCCCCTTAAGGCACCTGGGCCATCTGAGCAGGTAATTTCACTGTGCCTGATGCCCTTTCCTCTGGGTCTGTAGCAGGTTCTTGGATCTGAAACCACAGATCAGCCCACAAGTAACACACTGAAACTCCCAGTCCTTAAAGCAATTTTAGGTTTGTTTCCATGGCCTTCATATATATATCTATATTTTGTTTTCTAAGTTATGGCTTGAAGATGAGAGGGGATGCTCTCACCCCTCGGAATGGTGCCTGGGACAATACAAGTCAATGTTTGTATTTCTCATCTATTTTCTTCCTGAGAAGCTGGGCTTGCTGTGGCCCTCTGATCAGACACGGGCTTCCTGCATTGCTTTGTGTAAGCCATGCTCTCAGATGGCAACTTCCCATATTCTGGCATTTAAAATTCGAGTTTCAGTTCGAGAAGATGATTTCTACCACCAGAGCTTTTTTGTTTTTGAAGCGCGGTAGATCTGTGCTGGCCAAGCAGGTGATAGCAACGCATTCAGGGAAAGCAGACGCCTGCTTTTGTGGCTGAAAGCCTGGGGATGGAGAGCTGTACTTCCAGGCGGAGAGATACAGCTTTCCTCCGGGAAAGCCGAGGAGCAAAGTCGAGGAACGGACCGCGCGGCAGGCTGGAGGGCAGGTGGAACCACAGCACCGAACGGCAGACGTGCGTGATTTCCGCCCCTCACATCTACGCGGAGCACCGCGCCGAGCCGCGCGTTACAGCCGGGCGGCCCCGAGCAGAGCCCGCGGGGGCTGCGCGGCTCCAGGCGGCGCGCTCGGTGCCGCAGCCCCGCAGGGCCGGCTGCCGAGGGGCAGGGGGCGCTCCCTGCGGCCGCCGAGCGGG